TTACACAGAGTAGGGATTTTCCCGGAAAATTGAATGTGGTGTGAGATTTCTGATGAAGGGGAAATTATACTCAAGAGCCAGTTTTCCGAAAAAGAGGGGAAAGACCGATATAAAGTTCTTGTTTTAATTTTGGGCTTTTGTATTGATATGTTTTTTGAATCGGTAGATAGGTTCTAGAATTATAGGAGATAGCTAAACGGGAAAAAAAATTAAATGGCCTTATACTGAATTAAACTTTTCTTGTTTTTTTTTCTTCACCCCAAGTAGTTAAGCTCTTTATAAATGGGGGGGGGGGGTACTGACATGCAAAAAAGAAGGGATGGGGATGTTTCGCTATTAAGAACCCTACTAAATTGAAACAAGAGGCCCATGGGCCACATTGCTCACCTGAGTAACTTTGGCCATGCTGTTCATTACCAGACTCCCCCCTTGTAATACCTATTGTGGCCCCACCCTCCCCCAAGGGGCCATGATTTGAACAATTTAGAATCTACACTACCCCAGGATGCTTCCACATAAGTTTCAGTTTTTCTGGTCCAGTGGTTCTTGAGAAGATTTTTAAAGATTTTTCCTATATATTTCAATGTAAAACTTGGGATTCCCCCTATTGTGGCCCCGCCCTACCCCTGGGTCATGATTTGAACAATTTAGAGTGTACACTACTTGAGGATGCTTCCACATAAGTTTCAGCTTTTCTGGCCCAGTGGTTCTTGAGAAGAAGATTTTTTAATGACCCCACCCTATTTTTGTCTTCTCTTGATTATCTCCCCTATATATTTCAATGTAAAACTTGTATTTCCCATTGTGGCCCAGCCCTACCCCCGGGGGTCATGATTTGAACAATTTAGAATCTACACTACCCAAGGATGCTTCCACATAAGTTTCAGCTTTTCTGGCCCAGTGGTTATTGAGAAGAAGATTTTTAAAGATTTTTCCTATATATTTCAGTGTAAAACTTGTATTTCCTATTGTGGCCCAGCCCTATCCGCGGGGGTCATGATTTGAACAATTCAGAATCTACACTACCCCAGGATGCTTCCACATAAGTTTCAGCTTTTCTGGCCCAGTGGTTATTGAGAAGAAGATTTTTAAAGATTTTTCCTATATATTTCAATGTAAAACTTGGATTCCCTATTGTGGCTCCGCCCTACCCCCGGGGGTCATGATTTGAACAATTTAGAATTTACACTACCCCAGGATGCTTCCACATAAGTTTCATCTTTTCTGGCCCAGTGGTTCTTGAGAAAAAGTTTTTTAAAGATTTTTCCTATATATTTCAATGTAAAACTTGTATTTCCTATTGTGGCCCCGCCCTACCCCCGGGGGTCATGATTTGAACAATTTAGAATCTACACTACCCCAGGATGCTTCCACATAAGTTTCAGCTTTTCTGGCCCAGTGGTTCTTGAGAAGAAGATTTTTAAAGATGTTTCCTGTATATTTCAGTGTAAAACTTGTATTTCCTATTGTGGCCCAGCCCTATCCGCGGGGGTCATGATTTGAACAATTCAGAATCTACACTATCCCAGGATGCTTCCACATAAGTTTCAGCTTTTCTGGTCCAGTGGTTCTTGAGAAGAAGATTTTTAAAGATTTTTCCTATATATTTCAATGTAAAACTTGGGATTCCCCTATTGTGGCCCCGCCCTACCCCTGGGTCATGATTTGAACAATTTAGAATCTACACTACCCCAGAATGCTTCCACATAAGTTTCAGCTTTTCTGGTCCAGTGGTTATTGAGAAGAAGATTTTTAAAGATTTTTCCTATATATTTCAATGTAAAACTTGGGATTCCCCCTATTGTGGCCCCGCCCTACCCCCGGGGGTCATGATTTGAACAATTTAGAATCTACACTACCCAAGGATGCTTCCACATAAGTTTCAGCTTTTCTGGTCCAGTGGTTCTTGAGAAGAGGATTTTTAAAGATTTTTCCTATATATTTCAATGTAAAACTTGGATTCCCTATTGTAGCCCCGCCCTACCCCCTGGGGTCATGATTTGAACAATTTAGAATCTACACTACCCCAGGATGCTTCCACATAAGTTTCAGCTTTTCTGGTCCAGTGGTTCTTGAGAAGAAGATTTTTAAAGATTTTTCCTATATATTTCAATGTAAAACTTGGATTCCCTATTGTGGCCCCGCCCTACCCCCGGGGGTCATGATTTGAACAATTTAGAATCTACACTACCCCAGGATGCTGCCACATAAGTTTCAGCTTTTCTGGCCCAGTGGTTCTTGAGAAGAAGATTTTTAAAGATTTTTCCTATATATTTCAATGTAAAACTTGGATTCCCTATTGTGGCCCCGCCCTACCCCCGGGGGTCATGATTTGAACAATTTAGAATCTACACTACCCCAAGATACTTCCATATAAGTTTCAGCTTTACTGGCCCTGTGGTTCTTGAGAAGAAGATTTTTTAATGACCCCACCCTATTTTTGTCTTCTCTTGATTATCTCCCCTTGTGAGGGGACTTGGCCCTTCATTTTAACAATTTAAATTCCCCTTTACCCAAGGATGCTTTGTACCAAGTTTGGTCAAAATTGGCCCAGTGGTTCTTGAGAAGAAGTCAAAAATGTGAAAAGTTTACAGACGGACGGACAGACAGACAGACGGACAGACAGACGGACAGACGGACGGACGGACGACGGACAAAATGTGATCAGAAAAGCTCACTTGAGCCTTCGGCTCAGGTGAGCTAAAAAAAAAACTAGCCAGAAAAAATAAAATTCAGAAACCCTTTTACTTTTTCGTGGAGGGGGGGGGCTCTCATTCTCATTTTAGCAAAGAGAGAGAGAGAGAACAATAACGTGATATGTTTAGATATTGCTGCAGCAAAATAAAAAGGGGGTATCGGCCTTTGAATGAAAATTTTCAGAATATTTAAAACAAAAGATTGTTCTAAAATAATTGGAGAAGGACTTTTTACCCTACTTGGTACTCCGGACCTGCAGAAAATTGGAAAAAAAAGAGCACGGCGATACAATTTGACGCTCCCGACGTCATTCGTATATATGTAGTGTGTAAAATGACGTTTTTCGTACCTGTGACAAAATGGCTACATCTATATTAATGCTTGCGTTTATTTCATGTAGATGATAACCGTAAAAATTATGTTATTATCTAATACAGTATGAAATGTTCTTTCAAGATACAGTAATGATTGGTATATATATGACATTAATTTATGTATATTTGATATGTAACTGAGACATATTAAGTAATAGTACAGCGACTCGTACGTGCATAACAAAATGGCTACACTTAACAAAGCCTTACTAATATTAACGTATCAGCAGTTATATAGCAATTATCAACATAACTAATTTTAGAAACATATGTACTTAAAGATTATTCATCAAAATTTATCTTTGTGTGGCATTTATGTCTAGTACACATCGCCATGCGGGCTAATGTCAACTTTAGGAAACGATTTTTTCCTGTTGGACATATTACTTACGCACTGTAGATACAGCCCAAACTCGTGAAATTGAGAAAATGATGCTAAAAATTCAACAATATCACAAAGAATGCATACATATTATTGTATTTCCTAAATTTTATTTAATTTAGAGGATTGGAAGTGGATCTTTTTATATCTTGTAGTTGCGCGAACAATAATTTATGTAACGTTGGACACGGGAATTTCGCCGTAATAACCAATAATGAATAAAGCCATATCATAGCTAAGATATTTTTATATTATTAAAAAGAGAATTTTTAGAATAATTTATTACCTTGGATAAAATTAATTAATTTCATTTTTAATTTCTAGTATCTTTATCATCTTGAAAACGCCAGTTTCTTTATGACATCTAAAGAGTCAGATTTTATAGTACCAACACCGTGCGCAACGTCTTACGTCTTAGGTTTGACGCGGTGCAGCGAACGAGAATCCAACCAGGGCCTCCCGATCACGAAGCCAACGCCCTACCACTAGGCTACTGTGGCGGCACTAGAAAAGCCAAGGGTCTTTTGGATGAGACATTAAATACCGATCTTTCGTGTCAAGGTAGGCGTTGGCGATAAAGATCCCTCACTGCTACGGCCGTAAGCGCCATGCATATGTTAAAATTTGTTGGACTTCACCTAACGTCTCTACAGAGTGAAAAATTCTCGAATGAGACGTTAAACAACAGGCACGACAAAGAACCCTCACTGCTCAATGGCCATGAGTGCCGAGTATAGGTCTAAATTTGAAGCCCTTCACCGGCAAACGGTTACGTCTCTATAAGACTGAAAAATTCTCGAATGGGACGTTAAACAACACACAATCAATCAATCAGTCAATCATTCACACCGCATTATAATGCTTGCATGACAATGTGACCAATTGTGTCACTGCTATTCTTAAGAATGTTTTTTTTTTCCACATATTCCCATGTAAAACTTTGATATCACATCACCTTGATACCTTCACATACTTTTTTTTTTTAAAAAAAAGAAACATCCTCTTTCCCCTTTTACCCCACCCCTTCCAAACTTTGGATAATTACTAAAATTTACATTTAAACAATGCAGTTTCTGTCATAGCAATAAAAGGATTAGGACGCCAAAGTCATATGAAAATTTCATATATTAGTCGTTGGATTATTTGGAAATGTAGGACGCAATACAAGAGCTTTACTTTTCTTTCGCTTCCAGTTGCTGTCTTACTGCAATTTTCCCTACTTCACCAATAAGAGGGATACAAACTGATCTTATAGGCTTGATGGGGACGGGTTTATGAGGCAAAGGATTTTAAACTTGCCTCATGATACGAACTGTCAAGATTTCTGTCTCCCTGGACAGATGAACAATTCAGCTTTATTTCAGTTCTTTGGTTCTTATGTACATGTTGAGTCAACATTCGTAACATTAACTTCACGTAAATTTAATCAGAGATTTGAGAAGTCGAGTGGTTAGTCTTTCTGAGTTGATATATTCTCTTTATACTTAGAAGAAGAAATCCATCAAATAATGTCATGTTTATTATATACAATAATTATATTTTATTGTTTTACTAATGCACAGATACTTAAATACGCTTATGTTGTTCAATTTTTATCTTTATTAGATGCAGTTGCTGACGGAGTTTGTCAATCTCCAAGTTGTTGCTATTTCGTCGTAGCCTTAGAGACACGTGATCACTTAGCGCCACCTTGTGGTCTGTAGGGAAGTCCTCATCTTTGTCGTCTTCCACTTCCTGTAGTTTGGTCCTAAGCATTCTGTTTTCCTTCTCCAGATTTTCTATCTTGGCAAGACATTTCTGGAAGTTCTCTGAACTCATTATGTGTGATGGGAAATCTAAAAAAGAAATATAATGCGATATATTTATGACGTAAAGGATGGTATTATCTGTCAAATAATGTCTAATCCATTTGTAGAAACGATTCAGTTGTATTGCCACTGGCACTGAATGTTTCATTCTCAACAAACTATGCGAGTTAAAACCTGTTAGCGTTAATGAGTAAAGAACATACGTTTAATCAAATTACGATCTGAAGAATTCTCACCTACTGCATCCATTGGTGCAAGGGGCATGAAATTATTGTCAGAAAGGTATGCCAGGTAAACATGCCTATCCTCATTGCCGTGGACATAACCGTGCGGATAAAATCTTAGCTCCTCTGTGTCTTCAGTACCAACAGCAACGACATGTAGGAGAACTTGGTATTTATGCGCTACTGCGTAGGCAAACAATGCGTCTGGACATTTCGTGCGAAGATATAAACTCCACTCTCCCCCATCGATAAATCCAATATGTTTTAGCTGAAAAAAAGGTTTAATTTTAGGGATATACAAACAAACCAGATACATTTAGTCAGACTGTTGCAACTTTCTTCTTATAAAGTAAAGAATACTACTGCTGTGGCGATCAAATGACTGACCTACCGAAAATTTCGGTGGGTTTTCGTGAAGAAACTGAATAAGTTCATTTTTCATGTCTTTCTTTCGCAGGTCGTAACTTAATGCGTCAATGATATTGCAGAATTTTCGTTTATCTTCAGATGGACGAAGCATAAGATGATATAAAACACTTTTCATTTTTTCGGAGTCGGCCTTTAACGTTCCTTTTCCCGACTGTGGTTGCCTTGGCTGAATACGATTAGGTGTGTTTAAGGTATAATTTTTATTTTCTATTTCTGATTGCTGTTTTTGAGTTTTCTTCTCACGGTGTAAGTTTAAATAGGACCTCTCAGATTCCACTGTACTGGTAGTAGTTCCCGGCCTTGATAATTTTGGCGATGAAGAAGGCGAGTGTAATTTCTTTTGTTTTTGCACTGCTTCTATAGATTTGTTATCCCTCGGAGTTTTTCCTTTGGATTTTCTATCATTTAATGGAGAACTTAAAGTAGAGTTTGAAGAACTAGATGGTGATGTTATGAGGTCTTTTGGTGTTGATACTACATGTTTATTTACTTCGCTACCGGTCCTGTTATCTTTATGTGATTTTGAATCACCGTGTTTTCGATATATTTTAGGAGACACCTGTGGCGAATTATACGTCCGTTTAATTTCCTCATGTAGGTGACTAAGAGAATCTACATCTTCTCTTTTGGCGTTTTGTTGGATGTCAAATAAAATATTCATAGCTTGGTTCAATTCGAAATTCTCTACTTCTAAGAGATCCTTATCTACAACAAAGCAAAAATTTAATGAGCATAAAACGAAATGGAATATGATATCGTTTATCACCATGAATCAATAGAATCGTCTGGAAACTATACCTCCCCTGACAATTTCTGTCAAATTATTTCTTCATATTTTGGTTGTATTTTAAAATCGATATAAATATGCAAGGCGCGATTTCGACATGAAAGCACTTTTGTCCACATACAGGAAATAAAGCATACCTCATTTATTTAAAATAGAGTCCAGAAATATAAATCGAGATCGGCTTATTCAAATACAGGAAAAACATAATATTCATTTATTAATTCATTTTAAATAAATTCAACTTTTTATTTTTGTAATTACTAATCTCATGCAATATTCACATGTTCAGGTCATGGTTATTCATTGAATTGTCTGGTTTTAGGGGGGAGGGATTTTATGTGAAAAATATGAAATCCGGAACCAAAGTCTTTTTTTTTTATTATTATCCATTGCATTATACACAAAACCAAATCAAAGTCTTAATGTCAATCAGACTTATTCACATAAATTGATATACATTTTAGATACATTTTATTAATGAACTATGACAGCCACCGAATTTCAAACTTGTAGTGTATAATGCCTCAAAGATATTCCCTCCCCCCAAACACTTCTTCAACTGATATAATTGATATAAATTCTTACCTTCTAGTAATCTCAGATCGCGGACAAAGTCGAAAAGAGCGTCCTTTACTTGGTAGGTTTTCGGAGATAAGTGTTCTTTTATCCAGTTCAGCAGGATTATTTTGTCCTTCGTTATCGAATGTTTCTTCTCCCATTTTTCTTTTTGAAGGTATCCCTGATGTTGTAACCGATCTCCGAGAGTTTTAATGTTGGTCAGCGAGGAGTGACCCTTTCCACAACACAGCAATGACAATACATGGTCAATTACTCTAATCGCTTGTGTATTCTTAACTCCGTCTGTCTTATCTTTACTGTCACTTCTATCTTTTAATTCCATTGTGGACATCACAGCATTTCAAATAAGTCTCTGACGAAAACAATATTAAAATATTTAATCGCTTCTTCAGAGTCGGGCACAAATTAAAAAAAAGAGAACCATGGATTGAGAACAATTCTTTTTACATACATAAATACGGATTATTCTTTATGCACTAGATTAAATGCACAAGAAAAATAAATTTGACTTCAATACTACGGCACCTTTAGACATACATGTATAAAGGAAAAATAACTTTTTATACTTACCACACCAGGTTCCCGAAGTTTCCTCTAACCTGCATAACTTAAAATCCATTCAACTTTAAATGGTGAACTTTTAAATGGAAGTCAATATTTTCATTAAACAGAGAGTAAATGAAAGGTGATTACTTGAATCAAAAATCTTTTCTTTGCAGTCTGGTCTGTTTAAATGACCAGTGTTATCGCGCGCCACTGTCAGCTAACGGATATACTTTCTGAATCTATTATCGAAAATCAACAATTTCACACAATGTTTTGTTTGCTCGTAAGATTGCTCCATATCTATTATCTGTGTTTGAATAGAAAAATCTCATAGAAGACAACGTCCCAAAACATTGCAACAATCAACAGTCAATAACTTCCTAAAAGCATCTACATTTTGTCCATCAATACAAAGAAATGGAATTGTGTTTACCTCTCCCTAAACTTTTATCCAAATGGTTACTTATATGGATTGATCTGATAGTGTTTCAGTCTGTTGTTAAGTTTTAAAAGCTTGCTGTGATTAAAATTTCATTGAATATGACAGGTAAAACAAGGACGCTCGTATTTCTGTTAAACGATACGAAAACAATTTAACTTGTCTGGAAAACCAGGTTGGAACTGTACATGTACATATAAGGATTGACCTAAAGTAACCATATCTTATGTGCGATTTTTTGAAGAGTATACTAATTAGATGTATATTTTAATTACATACAGTTCTACTTCTGATTGCTAAGGAAAGATAGTTAAAACCTTTAGCTGCTTTTTAAACTTACTGAAAATTAATAATGGCACGACAGCTGTCAGCTGAAATTCTATACCATTATATTTAAGATTTTCAGTATCAATAGCTATCGACATATTTCTAACAAAAACGCCGTAATATGGTGCCATGCACTTTAGACAAGGAAAACAAAAGAAAAAAAAATATCCTTACACCAAGTCGATCGCATTCATCTTTCTTTGCGTTAAATAGCATTCCATTTTGTTCTTTGAAAAACGTTTATAATCATAATTAAATATATTAACTTAAATGTTCATATACTTAGATTTAACCTCGATGCATAAACTCCATTTTTGCACTTAATTTTTTGTCAGCGTTACTCTGCAGGTTTTAGAATTGATTTCCACGATGGACCTAGAACTTGTCATAATAAATCATTCTGTCTTTATCTTATGATTTATTTGTTTATTTGTTTAACGACCCTTTCGAGAATTTTTCACTCATATTGAGACGCCATCATTTGCCGGTGGAGAGCTGCAAATTTGGACATATACCCGGCACTAGGGCCATTGAGCAGTCAGAGATCTTTTTTGTGCCAGCACCTACTGCGACATGGGAGCTATAGGTTTATACGGTCTTAACCGAAAGACCGGTCTCCATATCCCGCAGTGGGATTTGAACCCGCGACATAAGGATCAACTCCTAACTTCACGACTCTAGATCAAACGCTTTTTCTTATCAGTTTCCAATATTTCTCTGTTTCAAAGCTATGGTGGACACAATTACACATACATACATACACACATGTTGACAAGGTGATTTCTATATACTGTATTTCTTTCGACATTGTATGAGTTATTTTCAAGTCATGAGCACTTTCTCTGATTTTCTTTCTTATTAAACTTTTGAAATTTTCATGAAATTTTATGAACTCTCAGACCTTAATTTGCTTTCTTATATGGTTTCCAGCCCAGTCTGTATGGCACGCCGATTGCTTCAAAATTATTTTCTGCACAACGATCACGATTTTATACACGAGCTTGGTGGAAAAATATACACGAGTAAAATAAAAATGCACGTATCGGTAAAAATTACACATAGTTTGGAAGATTTTAACACAAACATCACGAAAAATACACGAATCCGAAATTTTTTACACGATTAAGGGGTATAAAATGCACAAACGTAAAATCAAAAACTGCACGAGCAGAGGAAACTAAAAATTACACAAACAATTTTACTGCGCATACAGCTGCGCATATCATTATTATGCACATAGAATATTCATTGTGTTCTTGGTTTTCTGTACTCTTTATCTCTTCATGAATGCTGGATCTAATCGAGAGAAAATGGCGTTTACGATGATGTGCATGTTTGTTTGCTTCTTTATTTCTTTGCTAAAACTCGATCCGATTTCTAACTAATGCCAATCGAACGAATGAAATGTTTTCTTGTGAACTGTGTGAAAAAATTTAAAAGTTGTTCGGAGATATTATATTTTTCTTATATTGACCGAGATCCTAGCCAGAATATGGAGGTATTATATGATGCCGGACATAAATTGTCACTAGAAAGCAATCGCATGTCTGTGTTATAATGCGGGGGAAAAAAATACCATTCCATATGATACACTCGACTCCGAACTAAAAGTAATACGCTCTATGACCTTTTAATATTCCCTAACTTATAGATACAACTTTAACGGAAAGTACTTGTATTAAATAAAATTAACACATGCGTAATAAAACGATTAATAAAGTGGATTCTTCATGAAAATGATGGCAGAATTATTGCTGATTATAATCATTAAATTGTAGAATTTATTTGGTACTTCTCATTTGTACTAATTATGAATTCATCGGGCAATTTTTTTTTTCATTTAGGAATAGGAAATTATTCAGTTGGCTGGATATATTTTTTATTTTCAAAAAGATTAAAAAGTGGGGATTACCTGACCTTAGATATACACAGTATGTTTTTAAAGTCAAACATAAAAAAATATTTTATTTCTAATTATACATGTATCTTTACTTATAAAATATGAGGATATCAATTTTGGTTGGATATCTGTAGCCTACACTGTTATGAATTCCTTAAATGATATCGCATATTTTCAGTCATAAACTACTCAATAAAAAACAAGACATTCCTAAGGGTAAGCGTTACCCTCATTCGTAATGGTGATTACTTGATAAATGTTTTCACTTTTAATAAAAAGGACCAGATAAAGGGAAAATATATATACTCTATGTGCTTTATGTACATGCGGTTTTGTGTTTTGTTAAAATTTGTCCAAATGAAATAACAAAACTCTACTCAAATAATCCTGGCACCGGTAAAACATATCATTAGTGGCGGATCTGGTTCGTTGATTGATTGAGTCGCAACATCTGAATCTATGTATTTATTAAAGTTTCAAATCGTTGGACCATAATGACACATCAGAAATTTTAAAACAAAGTGAATTACGTAAAATGTTACAAATAAGAAAATGGGAATGGATATTATGATAAAAAGAAAGAACATAGCACATGCTTTATCACTCTTGAAAAATGCGAATAAATCATGTTTTTTATGGATAAATATTTTTCAAGATAACAAATTCTCTTTACATTTCGAATTCGTATGCATAAAATTTTAATTATTTTCCGAACACTAATTTTTTGTAATAACACTTTTTTACCCAAATCTATAGTCATTATAAAAGGAACATGACTTTATAGCAATATTGTACATGTGTATCAATGGCATCAACCAGGTGTTTTACTTTGAGCATGACTACGAATAAATATAAGAAAACATATGATGAATAGAAACCTCAAGAAATCTTTGTTTTATTACCGTGTGCAAATTTATTATTGTCAAAATCTGCATTGAAAATAAATACAGGTGTATGCATGTGTAGCCAAGTCCCAGCTAATAAAGTTCATCTTATATGTCTTCTTGAATTTGGTCTTACAATATCGTTAAGGTTCAGTTGAATTGCAATCCAGATTTCGATAGATTATTATATGTACCCTTAAATTCTTAAAAAATATTTCAGGCACGAAGCATCAGGAGGGGCCCCCACTTTTTTCCAAACATAACGCACTTCTATTGTAAATGTCCACTGAAATGCTGGTCCCCCCCCCCCACCTTTGTTGTAGGATAGTTTAAATCAAAGTATTTCGGTATTATAATGTGTTTCGAAAAGAAAATGGAAGGTGGAAACCCACCCACCCCCCCCACCCCGAAATAGGATTTTCGAGTTTGGACACATTACCTTTTTTTTTGCTTGTCACTGTTTTTTTTTTTCAGATAGGTTGTCAAAAAAAATTTCTGGCTACCCCCTTCCCCTTCAAAAACCGATACTACGTGCCTGTACTTTATAATTTTTAAATTTTCTTAACTCCTTTATATGCATTTTAACTATTCAAAATAGACTACCGCTGATGCATTAAAAACAACATAAATAAAGCTTTAATTCACATAAGTAAAACGACTGTATATTTTTTCTACATTTTCATGGAGTTTTTTGAAATCACCACACGTTGCTCAAAAGTTAAGACATATACTACTTTGTTACATACATATATCAAAAAGTGAGATATGCGTTTCAATATTAAAATTTAAGTTGCACAATTATTTACTCGATTTTCTTTACTGTTGACTTCCAAAAAGTTTTCGGTCAAATTCCACAACCCAGATGATCGCAACATTGCTTCAAAATCTTTGAATGAATTGCTAGTAATCTTTAATCAAAAGGTATTATTGGTGTGTCAAAGAGCTATAAATCGACTAGCGTACAGGTGTTTTTCGTTCCAGAACCATGCAGCAGGGAGAGATCTCTGTATGAAAAGGTTACGCATGCACATCCTTGATTATTACCAAAAGTACACACAGTGGGTGGTGGAGGAGAATATAGTGTGATTTGTTGTTAACTCTCCTGTATTATATCACATGTTGTTTTTATTTATTTTTATTTAGGCCTATATGTCATTGTTTTAAACTTTCAAAAGAAATTGCTATATAGAGGAATGACATACTTAAAAAAAATCCAACAATTAAACACACAACTGGTAATATGCATCCCCCTTTTTACGTTATCTATACATGTATTCTGTGTAGAATGTTTTTTTTATTCGGGGGTGTTCATATACTACAAATTTAAGACTGTGTGCCAGTCAATTTATCTACATGTATAATATTCGTTGTACATATTCTTGAGAGTCTAGCGGAATTTTAAAAGAATCTTTTTTTAAAAAAGAATACTCGTTACTCCTCCTTTTGTATTTATAATATGTTTCAAGCATCCAAGCCACATTGAGCTGTTCTCTAATGAATATTAATGAAATGTGCGCAATGAGGATGATTTGCATATTATGTCGATGTTGTATTCTCACTCGTGCAGTTTTCGTTTTTACGTTTGTGTAATTTCCTCACTATATCGTGTAAATATTTTGTTGATTGTGCAGTTTTTCTACAGTTTGTGTAAATTTTAATAACTTCGTGTATATTTTCCTCACTTTGTGTAAGTTTTTACTTACTCGTGTAATTTTTGTTTAAGGTCGTGCAGAAAATAATTTTGAAGCAATCGGCGTGCCAT